TATTCACGAAGAGGGGCGTACGCAAAGAGCTGGCGCTGTGGCAACCAGGGCACGCGCGCGCCTGAGGGCCGGCCGGCGCTGAGGGGCGGGAGCCGGGGGCTCGGTAATGGCACACGGCGCCTTCGATTGTTTAGTCTATTTCCTTTGCTTTGAAGGGAGAAGTGGAGTTGTTTAGAGGCTGGTTTAACTTTTTTTTTGTTTAGTTTTTGTTGTTAGCAGTTTTCAGTATTGGAGATCGTAGTGTTCATTCCGCTGAGGCGCTTTCCGTCCTGAGGGGGGGGGGGCAGCCCTCACGAATTCTATCAAACGTTACCGAATTCTGAGGGCAGGTTTTAAACAGATCCCTTTTAAAAATGCTTGCTTTGCTTTTTTTTTTTTGCTTTTTTTTTTTTTTCCTTTGGGAAAAAAAGAGGTATTTCGTTTTCCTTTGCTTTAATTTTATTCTTTTGAGACCCCCTCCGATTTTGGGCATTGGGCTGCACCACTTGAACCCTTTAAAAAGCATTCCCTCTATCAAATTTAATATCTTTCCTTGAAATTTTAAGCTTTCTCTCTCTCTTTCTTTTCTTTACAGTGTTCAGTAAGAATTAAACCAGGTTAAGACAATTCAACAGATGAGCACACATTAGTGCTGATGATGCACGATTCCAGCCTCTTTCGCAGCTTTCTGACAGTGTATATCTGCTAAAAGAGCTCCTTGGGGACACAGGGAACTGTTTAAAGTCAGTAGGTGGCTTTATGGTACATTATCTGCCCAGTCACCAAGTACAGCCATTTTGCAGTAATTTTAGGGATAGGGAGAATCTTTCTCAAGAAGATTTAGGATGGCACAGCCTCGTATCTCAGCCTACCCGCCCCCTGATATAGACCCCACCAAAGCTGCTCTGGCCTTTGGGAGGAGGGCCCTTCCTAAACTCAATGAGGAGTTGCAGTCTCCCGAGCTGCTGACGCAGCAGCGGGCGCTGATGGCTCTCTGCGACCTGGTCCATGATCCAGAAAAAGTCTACCAGGCAATCGCATTAGGTGAGTGATCTGTTCTCACTAGCTCTGACACAGAGGGGCAGGCTGAGGGGGGAACACCACGTTGCTTTCTTCCATTACTTTTTTCTTATAATATCTTTGATGACACAAGATGCCCAGGAAAAATTTCCTGTTTGTTTTACCTTACGTAAAGATTATTATAATAACATATACATGACAGTTATTATAAGAGTTATCATCACTTTAGGGTTCATCAATGGCTCACTGTTTTATCAACCCAAAAAACCACAAACGTAGTGCAGAATTTTTATTTCTATAGAATCACAGAATTGTTAAGGTTGGGAAAGACCTCCAAGATAAGCCAGTTCCACTGTTACTTCTGTCCTGCCATGATCACCACTAAACCATGTCTCCAGACTTTATTCTGATTTTAGCTAATTCCTATCATAGGCTAATTTTAAAAAAACCCACTTAATTGGTTCAAAGTTATAACCCCATCACATCATCACTTGCTTGCCTGGAACTCAATGAGAAATTAGAAAAGGAAGGACTATAACCAAATTTATCATACTCATAAGGACTACATCTGGCCACTACTTATTTCAAAAGCCTGGAAGAATCCTGAGTTTTGATATCGGGGGGGAAAAAAGCCCCTAACCACAAGATTATTTTTGCAATTTTTAGCAATCTGTGATGTATCTACACAGATAGCTCATTAGGTAACAGAAAAAAATCCTTGTTTGCTACTGCTTTTTTCTCCACTTACTTATTTTGTATTTTTTTTACTCTCATGAAATAGACTAATCATGTTTAAAATTTATTTAGTTAGTGTTTTATGAACAGTTTGATTACCAATGCAATGTGAGATTGTTAGTTTGGGGTTGTTAGGTTTTTTGGCTTTGGTCAGTGCCATATGTGCATACACAATCATTAATGGTTCACCACACTTATTTCTGTTCAGAAAAGACAAGTGAGTGTCAACCCTGCAAAAACATGCTTTTCTAAAGACATCAGTAGCTCTACTGGCTTATTTTTAGAGTTATGTCACTTTATATTTGCAGGATTAGGATTTAACTTGATAAGGAGTCAGGAGCTTGTTTGTAGCATGACATTTTTGGCAGTAGGCCTTAACATTGGAAAGTTTCTTCCTTACTTGAGATATGACAATTAGAATTTCACTGTCAGGACAAGCTGAAAATTCTGAGGCACTTCAAATTGTGAGATAAATGATGAATATTGCTTGAACGATTGAATAATTTCAAATTAATGCTGGAGGTAAGAAATGTTAAAATGAACTCTGATGTCTCATAGGATTCTTGGATAGCCTGAAGACTTTGCTGGTGCATCAAGACCAAACTGTCCGGCAAAAAACAACAGAAGTTCTCTCTGTAATGGCTTTGCATAGTATTGGCAGGTAGGTGCAATTCCAAAGTGATGCTTCAGTGAGAAATAAAAACAGAGTTTTAAGTTTTTTCAGACAGATGCAAGATAAAGAAGAGCAGTTTAGATTAAATATCTCAAATATATACAAGTTTTATTATATTGTGTTAGATCTGTCCTCCATTGTTGTTTATAGGGAAGGGCTAATACGAAGTGGAGTCATTTCTGCCCTTGCTGGGCTCCTGGATGATCCAGTAGATATCTGTCGGAAGAACACCCATCAGATTTTTGACAGGCTGGCAAAATTACCTCAAGGTAGGAGTTTTTAAGCAGTTAAATGTTCAAGTAGACAACGCAGAGAAGAAATCAGGTAAATTCACCTATGGTCCAGATTTAATTTATTCAGTTTCCCTTGAAACTCGTATTTAAAAGCAGTATCTTGTCTATTTTTGTTTATCACACTTTTCCTTAGCTAACTTTCTTGGGTCTTATGCAAGTTAAGGCTACCTGCTGGAGATAGAGATTCTGTGGACTGCATGCTTGAATTGGTATTTCAGAATCTCACATTAAAATTTCACTTTGTCCCTTCTTTCATCACAGTGCATTAGTCTCATAGGTGTTCTAATCTGAACATAAGTCTTAAACTTCTCTTCCAGTTGATCAAAATCATGATTTTAAAATTAAAATTTCAATAGAAATTATCAGTTAAAAAGCCATACTGTTTAAATTCATAGCAAAGTATATTGTCTGATAAATTGTTTCATTAATGATGCTTAAAAAGAATTAAATGAATGTTTACAGCCTTGCTAACTGTACATGAATTCTAAAAAAATGTAAAGATGTATTTTTACATGTAAGCAATCCTTTTTAAAATCTTCAATAGTTCCATTCATATGAAGGGTATTAATATGTTGGGCCGAACTACTTTGTGAACAACTTTGTGAACAAGTCTGTAAAAGCAGCTCTGAGTAATTACTCTTGGAAAAGGTGGGTTTTTTGAGTCATGTATTTCATTTATTTAGATAAAAATATTATGTACCTATAAAAATATATACATGCCTGTATTTAAGGGCTGGAAGATAAATCCTGCAGCAGAATTGTGACAGTGTAGAACAGACTCACATACAGAGGGCTACTTAAAAGAGAAACGAAAAGATGCAAAGCTTTTCTCTATGAGACAATTTGGGGAAGTATCAGGGATAACCACAAATATTTTCCAATAAGTAGTAAGAGTCACAAGGCCTGACATAATTCATTTGACATATTACAGATACAGAAATAGTCTCTCCTTGGTAATTCATCCCTTTTCAGCTCGCCAAGAAACTGTCTGTCTTTCTCTTTGCATTCACTTCTACACCTCATATCCAGATAATGAGATAGGATGTACCTTGGATCATCTGGAGGAGGTCAGCAACTCCTGCAGCACTCCACAGCTCGATTTGTGCTGTTCTCTAGAGCTGAGGTAATTTGCAGGGCCAATAAAGCAATGTGTTCTGTGCTAGACAGAAAGGAACAGAAGCTGTACACGCCCTTGGCATGAAGTGTAGCTGTTTTAATGGGGAAGTGGTCAGTGACTCCAGCTAGCTCTATGCCAGGCCACCTGGTCTTTCTCCAAACAGGAGTAATTTAGGAAAATGTGGTTATTTTGAGTGAATCCACTTACAGAGTATTTTTGATTCCTAAATTTAAGGATGTGTCCCAGTATCTTCCAGGAACTATGGGATAGTTAAAAACCAAAATGTGAGAGAATGCATAAAGACTGGTAGAACACTGAGAAGTAACATTTCCAGAAAAAACAACAACTTAGTGAAAAGAATTAATGGGCAGAAGAAAGACAAAAATAGATATATGTGTTCAGTAGAGGATAGAAAAGGGAGAAGGGCCAGCAGGAGGAGAAAATTAAGAACATTGAAGAAATTAATAGCAAAACTTCCTCTGTAAAAACAATTAGTTGACATATATAATACTTGACAATGTTAGTGAAAAGGGTGTTATGCAATGATAAATGACCTCAGAAATAGCAACTGCAAAAATAGTTCTAGAAAAAAAAATCTTTCATTATGATACAGTTAACACTGGAAAGGTTTGATAATTCTTACCCATTGCCTATCCTGTCCTATATGGGTACCTAATCCTTTTAGGCAAAGATTGAGGTGGAATGGATGGGGCAATGGATTTTTAAGCTTGCCAGAACCTCTGTTTGGGAAGAGCCCAAGAGATAATATTTCTCCTACATTGCTGACTCTTAGTGCCTCCTCTCTTTCACCCTTGAAAAATCATAGCCAATTAAATGTGTGGATAAGGACTCTTTAAGGATACCTTTTTCCCTTCAAAACTTGTTTTGCTGTATAGAGTGCAAATGCTGAAAGGACAGATGGCATTCTTACTGCAGCAGATGGGACATCTCTTCTGTGAATGTCATTGTTGCCCAGGTGAAGTGAAATCCCAGCTGTATTAATGCAGCTCTTTCAGGTGGCAGTGCACTGCATCACTGATAAACCTGAGAACTGAGAAAATAGATGCAAATTTAATTGCATGATATATCCAGGTGGGTGACTAAGAGTCAAGGGATTTAATTTCAGCACCTGTCTTCAACCAACAGGCTTTTTAGTTCTAACTTTGCTGTGCCTCAGTTTTCTTATACACTCAGAATTTTTTGTACAGAAAACTCTGTATAAAACATAGTTTATTTTAACATCTTGAAGAGAGAAGACAGAGAATTACTCAGAATACTAAAATCAAAAACATCATAGGAATTCAATTATTAGAGAATAGCAAGAAATTGCTGTTTAGATAATGTGATTATGTGACTTGATTATTTAAACATAATTATTTACTTCTTTGTTCCTCCCCATGCCTCTGATTTAAGTCAAGTAGGAGCACAGGTGGTGCTTCACTTTCTTTTCACCTTTCCTAGATAGCTTTCACTCAATGAGGAATGGAACTGGCTGCTTTCCCTTAGAAATCCCCTTGGGCCATTGTTAAAATGTCCTAGGTTCTCCACTTCTAATATTTATGGTAGAAAGACCTTCTTAGTTGAATAAAGATTTGGTTTTTAATATAAAGTGTCTGTTACCCTCCTGATAATTGACTACACTTTTGGTTTTATTCAGCTTTCTTACCTCGAAGCTATGCTGTAATGAATGCTGGTGTTTTCTTGTCACTTCTTTCCCTAATCTATAATGGCCACAGTCTGATGAAAGAAAGAGGTGAAGGAGACACATCTAATAGATCACTCATTGGGAAAGGGAGCCCTGACTCACTTCCCATCTTTTCCACAATTCAACTGGCTAATAATTGGATATTACATGTAAAAAGCAAATTAGATTAGAAATACTGCACGATTTCCCAGGTAAATTATAGCAATTTAATAGTAAGCAAAGTTTAGAGGAACTTGTACTAGCAATTACTGTATACAGATTTTAGTAAACATGCCGAGCAGCCTGAGTGCAAATATCCCAAGTAGGCAGCAGTACTTCCTCACTACAAGTGAGACCTAAAAACTCTCTGTGTGCCTTGACAGACTTCTTATATCTTGGAGGCACAGCCTCATTTACTCTTTTGCCTCTACTCTTCAGGTGTAACAATTGGCAGGGAATGCTAAAAGGGACCCCATGTCTTCAGTACAGGGATAAAATATCTTGTGCAAAATTAGATTAGAAGAAAACTTTACAAGTATTTTCCAATTAACTGTCATGACACTACTTAATGAACACACTATAGACACGTTCAATATCATTTGAATTATTTATTTTTGAAGTGGACAATTTAAATGTTGATGTTATTAACCATTTTGTTTTAACTTTCTTAGAGCCCTTGGCTGAGATTTCTTGCACTAATTGTAGTACATAAGGGGAACAAAAGTAGAAGGTGATTTTCCAGTGTGCATGTGTGTCTGTGTCTCTGTGTACGTATGTGCTTTACAGTTATCAAACATATATTTACACACCAACTTTACACTGAAGTCTTTAAGAAGTCTTTTCTATGGCAGGGGAAAGAACCAACTGACCAAAGACTTAGGTCTATATAATCCATATGAGATTTTCCAGTACAGTCCCACAGAGCTTCTTATGCATTCAAACTTTTGCCGGAATGTTACTCCATCCAGTAGTGTTTCTTTATGAGATGAAACCTGGAGCTGAGGATTGCATCTCTTCAGTTTCCTTAACTTGACTAAACTGTAAATAATTTAAATTATTAAATTGAAATATAAAGACATTTAGTTATTGTTCATATCGCTCATCTTTAACCTTCTAATAACACATCACATTTTAAAAATAATTTAAAAAAACAACAAAAAAAGACTTTGGAGGCTATATACTACACAATCTCCATGGCTCCTGCTTCTTGGGAAATCTGTTACAATATTACGATACCCAGAAGGTATTTGGAGCAGTGGAACAGAATTGTCCGTTGGCAACTTTCACATTCAGCAATCCAGACACTACAACAATAATTTAAAAAATTGCTTTGTGATTTTTTTTAATCTGTATTAAAAAAGGAACACTAACCTACTTCTTAAATATAATTTGGTTTTTCATGAAACACCACAAGATTTGGCAAAAAAAGATGTAAAAGAAGACTGTTTGGATGTATAAAACTCCTTATCAGTAGAAGAAACACCGACCTTAATTTGGCCTATTCAAAGATTCATTTCATGTAATTTTGCTGCATATTTGAAGCCATAAAGAGCAGAAAGAGCTGCTAGTCAGTTTGGAAATCACAAAACAGTTGCGCACCAACAATTCCTTTAATAGGCAAGGTGTCCATGAGAAACAGTAAAGTAAAGCAGAGGTGTGTACATAGTATATGCTTAGAGTCATGTGCATGTGCATACATGATGGATGTGTACATACTCTTGACTGTGGATACCAATATTGTGGGTGCATACCCACTCTACAAATTTAAGTAGTATTTTGCTTAAACTCTCTCATTCAGTAGCTTCTGCTTTGAACTACCTTTTCTCCCCAACACAAGCATTTTGCTCCACACCCTGCAAACAAGTTCATCTGTCACTCACCAGATTTATATTTTTATGTCAATAAAATTTTAGGACAACTGGATGAAGAGTAATTTCTTACACAGAACATGATAACACTCCCACTATAGGAAATGGAATGAAACAAATGGAATAAAAGTGCAGTGACTGTGGTGAAACATCTCCACAGAGTTAGGCCTCAATCTCTATTTTGTTTTTGTTTGGGGGTTTTTGAGTTTTTGGTTGGGGTTTTTTTTTTTCACTGGGGGTGTTTGGTTTTCTTGGAGAGGAGGCTCTCACTCTCCAGAACATATATTTGGGGGAAATGATGTAGCAGGTTAAGGGGGCATAAGAGGAACTGTGTTCATATATCAGATTTCCCCTTTTCTTTCCTTGGGCTATTAAGCATTGCCCAATTTTTTTCCACTAGAAGTGGAAGAGGTTAGCCCCTTTTTTATCACTCCAGGAAAACAGATTAAACCCAAGGATTCTTAGCAGAGGCCAATGTATTTGAGATTGTTCTGAATGATGACATCTGTCACTGCATCAAACACAAATTGTATGTTACTGGTATCAGTGGCACAGGTGAAGTGTGAGTAGATCTCCTTGGTCTCCTTGTTGCGATTCAAGTCCTCAAACTGGCGTTGGATGTAGACTGCTGCCTCCTCATAAGTGTTTTGGCCTTTGTATTCAGGAAAGCAGACTGTTAAGGGGATGCGTCGGATTTTTTCTGCCAGCAGATCTTTCTTATTCAAAAAAAGGATGAGGGAAGTGTTGATAAACCAGTTGTTGTTGCAGATGGAATCAAACAGACGCAAACTTTCTGCCATTCGACTCTGCAGGAGAGGAAACAACAGCATCAGCAATAGTGTTTCAGCAGAGCTGTGGAAAGCTCACAGCTCTGTCTGCTGCCCTGAGCAGGTAAACTCAATTTATGAACAACTAAGCATGATCACCACAGTTATGTTTGGCAATTAAAATCCAATGCTGCTATGGACTGAAAGAAGAGAGATCCATTAAAAATCAGCAGCTGTCTTAAATGTTCCTGAGGTATTGCTGCTACTGTGATGCTTACACTGATGCAGCTGGAGCTATCCATGGTACCAGGCTCTTGGGAGGCTGTGTTTATTGCTTGGTTTACACCTGTAAATATGTGTAAATAGATGTAATGTTTTGAATAGAAAATATTACAGTTTATTAAAATTAATATCACTCAAGTATTGTCAAAAGTAGATACAGAAAATGTCTTAATCACGCACTTTTGGCAAGGTCAATGTTTTTCCAGCATGTTAAGGTTTCAGAAAATGTTATGCATACATCATGAGTCATGGGAGTGATCCAGGGTAAGTGAAGGGCAGGGATTTGGGATATCAAAAACCAAGGGTATATTTGATTTACAAGGTTATGTGCAAATGTGTATGTGTTCCATTTGTCTGGCTTGTGTTCGGAGGGGATGAAAATGATCAGAGTCTGGGAATTTTTGTTGTTTAACTGTGAAGTATTCTGGCCAGTTCTCCAGTTTGGCAGGAACAAACAGAGGAGGTGAGAGGATGACTTTGGCTTTTAAAAGAAATAAAGTATTTTGGGCCCAGTTCTCCTGAAATTTATATCAGTTGCATGTAGTGCATCTCCCTTGACTTCACTAGAGTCACCTGGTGAGAGCATGCACTGTTTATTACACAAAAATTCATATGAAAATATAATTTATTTAAAATTTACTTTCTATTTTGTTTTATTTGGAAACAAAATTCATTGTATTGTTATTATTTCAAAGGAAATCTACAACTGTTTTGATTATTATTGTTACACTAAAGTTGTATACTGAAAAAATTGCCCCTTAAGAAGGCATAGTTGCTGAAATAGGAGCAGACTGGTTTACATAAACTTTCCAAATTACCTCTTACACTTTCCTCACTTTGTGTTGTTACTCCTTTTCATTTGCTAAGGATTGACTTGGTCAGAATTGCATCCTGTGTTCTCTGAGTTCCATGAAGGCACTGATTTAGTTGTGTTTACAGTGACACCCGAGGCTGGTGGCAGTTCCTGGTCATTTCCAAAGCCCTGGGAGTGCCGGGAGGGCTGGCACTGCCTCGGCAGCCAGGGGCAGAGCTGACTCACCAGCCTCTTGAGGCACACTGAAACACAAGCTCAGTCAGACTTGATTGAACAGAACCAAATCAGGTTCTGATTTGGGGGCTGTTTGTTTGCTTCTTCAGTTGTGAGGTGGGGTCTTCTGACACTCCAGCCTACTTTATATATGGACAGATTTATAGGTATAAAAACATAACTTCAAAAATACATTTGAGCGTTTCTTTTCACTAGTGCAAATACTGACACAACAGATAATCCTCTAAAACATCATAGACCTGTTTTCAAATACTCAGGATTTCCTTTCCTGATTTTGTAGCTGATAATAACCAAGCAAGAAATTTTTATCTCAGTCAAAATGCTTTTGCTACTAATAGTCTGGAAAAAAAAAATCTTTTAGAGCTAATACAGGTTTTTGGCCAACTCTCAGAACAATCATACCAACAGGATATTGCATTTTAAGAGGTTTGTGTTCATTACTGTATTTTGTAGTGAATCATAACACTGTCCCTTTACTACCTAATCCGCCATTGGAATCTGTAATCCAAGGACAAAAGCAGAGAGTTAAAACTCTTCCGTAAATTGGTAGATGTTACAAACATCGTACAAGAGGAAAGACAGTTTTAAATTATTGTAAATTATTGTAAACTTGGTGATCTATTGTGTGATGTAAAGAAAATACTAGTAAATTGTTGATCTTGACACCTAAGAAATTTCTTCTTGAATGGAATATTGTAATACTGGCTCAATATCTGAAAGTCACAATATCCTTAACTAAACTGAATACGATTTTTTTTAGTTAAAAGCAAGTAAGTCAACCAAGAATCATTTCCAACAAAGATGCAGGTGATGTTATGCCAGTTGCATGTTATAAATGTGTGATATACCTTGGGAAATGAATCCCCCAAATCCAGGTCATGATTTTAATAGCTGAAGAAGGAAAAAGTATCAGAAAGGAAAACCCAAGTCTTCAAATCTTACAGTCATACAGTGGTTTGGGCTGGAAGGGACTTTAAATACCACCTAGTTCCAAATCTCCTGCCATGGCCATGGACACCTTCCACTCTCACCCAGCCTGGCCTTGAGCACTGCCAGGGATGGGGCTTCCAAAGATTCTCTGGGCAACCTGTACCAGTGCCTCACCACTCTCACAGGGAAGAGTTTTTTATTAATCTGATTCTACTGTCCTTCAGTTTGAAGCTATTCTCCCTTGCAGGCTCTTTTATTTAATCTCTGTCCATCCTTCTTGTAGGTTCCTTTCATGTACTGGAAAGCCACAATGAGGTCACCCTTAAACTTCGTCTTCTCCAGGCTGAACAATCCAGATTTTCTCAGCCTTTCCTTATAGGAGAGCTGCTCCATCCCACTGATGGCCTTCCTCAGGGCTTGCTCCAGCAGCTCTATGTTCTTCCTGTGCTGGGACCCCAGGGCTGGAGCAGCCCTGCAGGTGGGGGTCTCACCTGAGTGGGGCAGAGGGATAGAATCCCGCCCTCCCCTGCTGCTCATGCTGGGGACTCAGCCCAGCACAGGGAGGTTTCTGGGTCCCAGCACACACAGACAGGGCAGGGCCAGCCCTCACCCACCAGCATCCCTGAGTCCTTCCCAGTACTGCTCCATCTCCCCATCCCGCATGATTTCTTGCCATATCTTAAGAACTGATATATCCACAGTTAGTCAAGGCTGGCACTAAAAATACCTGGTATATCCACTGATATACTGCCAGCATAACAGGCTCGTTTCTGCTCTTGGCAATATTGTAAAACTCCTTTACGTATCATAGGGAAAGTGAACTTGAGAGGGCTATGGCTTATTATAATAAAAATAGCATAAATTATTGCATGGCTCCCAAAGGTGTAATAAAACATAGTAAAATAATGATAGGCATTCTTTTCCGCAGTGTCTTTTCCAGTTCTGGAATCCTGAAGGGAACATATAGCCAGGTGGTCAGAAAAAATGTGCTGCTGTAATTTTATAATTATACACAGGCTGGAATATAAGCAAGATAATGCCAATGCCTTACCCAGATGGCCTTGGTGGGGGCTAATTGCAAATTCTTCTCTGAGCGTAAGAACAAGGAATTGGTTGCTTAAGGGAAAGAACATGCTAAGGAACAGATGGCTGCTTCTATGCTTCCAATACTTTGCTGAAGCACAAACATCCCTGGTCATCCTCTGGAACAGTAGAGGTGTACTTAGTAGGAAAGAGTTCTGAACAAGTAAGCATTTTCAAAAGGGAAGACTCAGTTATCAGGATAGCAAGTAATTAATAGAACAGAGTTGGTAAATGGAGCCAAATTGTAATGTATCTCCTTACAGCTTTCACATTAAAGCTTTCTAGTCACAGCTGGGAAAGCTTTGAAATTTAAAATGAAAAATAATGAAGAGAGAAACTATCACAAATAAGGGAATTAACTGTCATTTGTATTAAAAGCTTAAGAACTTCATCTTCCAGTCATTATATCTCTTTCATCATCATCATAATTTTAAAACTGGTAGGCACTTGGAGATTTGAGAACCTTAACTAAACCAAGTAAAATTTATCTTATGTAAGCCAAAAACAATAATGAATAAACTTTGTGCAGGAATAGTAATATTTGCTTTCCAGAAAAGTTAGAAAATCTTTAAATGTCATTTAATCTTGGAATAACCAATGGAAGCTGTTGCCATTTTCCTGTAGAGACTTTCCTTGCAATAGTGGCTGACATTTAGCATATGCTTGTAGCTATGAGCTATTTCACAAAATGGCATGAAACTCTCTTCAAGTATCTTCTTCAGAGATCTAGGACTCAAGATCTTCTGAAGAAAGCAGATAAAGCTAAAGTATTTGAAGAAGGAGTAGTGGGGTAAAAAAGAATTAGTTGGATGTTTTTCCTTAAGGTTAATAGACCGAAAAAAATGGAATCCATTCTGAAATAAGGTCAGTCTACAAAATAAATGAAGGAGATACTACCCAGGACACTCATAGTCAAAGCAGTTCAGAAATTCAAACTATGCTTGAGTAAAGGCAGAGGGAAAACAGAAGAATTTCACAAACAAAAATACAGAAAGCAATTATTGCTTGGGTAAATACAAAGAGATACTCTTTTCTTGTAAGAAAGACTACAATGAGTGCTAGTTGAAATGTCCTTCCTGTGTAGCAGTCAGGCAGTCCTGATTGAGTGCTGGATAAGAGAGGGATACAAAACTATTGTATGATTCATCTTTTGTTCAAAGCAAGAATGTATTCTTGCCTGTACTCAGGTGGCTGCTGGACTAAATGGGAAAAATTATAATAATGAGTTTTTAACAACTTCTTTCATCTAAAAATCAAAAAGAAGAAACTATCTGTTGGAGAGGAGTAAATAGACTTAATACCTCTCAAAGAAATTAAGAACCCCACTAAGGTAGAATTAAATTGGGATAAGACACATTACCTGGGTTGTCCTGTATATACCTGTTTCTAGCCTTGGCATCTCCCAGAAGGAATGGGTAAGCAATAGGGATTTGACTAGACAAAATTGTTTTGGGTTCCACACCTTTTCTTCCCAATCCTAGGAGCCCAAAGTTTTCCTGGAAAATGTTGGAATTCTAAACTGTTAAAATTAGAAGAGGTGACATAAAAGAGTAAATCCCACTATGAATTCACTAAGTGTTCTTAAGTCACTTATCAGCTTAACTTATTCTGCCAGCAGATGAACTCATTATCCCATCACCCAAACAATTCGTTACATTGGTCTAAAACCACTGCAGGAAATCTTGACCAGTCCCAT